ATGAGTGTATAGGAATCCTACTAGTCTATTCTAAGGGCACCACCCGATAACGGGTTACTAACCTGTATACTATATGTTTTGAGGACTAATCATGTCCATGGGTACTCCATCAATTATGTTCCGAGTTTTGAGTACGATTCCCGTCCTTGGGTATCCACCAATTATATTCCAAATTTTGAGGACAATCTCGTCCTTGGGTACTCCATCAATTATATTCCGAGTTTTGAGGACAATCCCGTCCTTAGGTACTTCACCATAACCTGTGATCTACCACATATCATACTTAGATAGGGTCTATATCATAATCAATATACAAGACTAAACGAAGTGTTATAGCTTAAGCATAACAATCCATGCAAATAGATCAAATTGGACAAAACTAGACCAAAACGGCCCTCAAACCCGTGACCAAACCGGCGCCGGTTCTAGCCCTTATCGACGCCGGTTCCCTGTGTTTTTCTCCTAAACCGGCTGGCTGTGACTCAACCGGCACCGGGTCATCCCCTAACCGGAGTTGGGTCATTCCCTAACTGGCGCCGAGTCATTACCTAACCGGCGCCGAGTCATCCCCTAGCTGGCACCGATCTGTTGTCCTACACACGGTCAACGCTTCATTGACATCCAAACCTTCGATTGCTACGAAACTCGAACACAACATGTAATAAGTCATAAACAATCAATATACACCATTTTGACCATTCAAATATCACATATGTTTTTATATGCATTTTAAACTATTTCCTTACAATTTTCCAATAGTTTAATTCATACTGACTTTGACTAATTACATGCTTAAACTCTTTTAAACATTATTATGAACACATATAACATTTCTTTAGATTATCTGATACGTAGAAACCGGCTTTGGAGATGGGAGAGAAGTGAAGACCTCGGCATAGAGAGGGGTTCATTTGGGTAAGGTGAATGAGCCTAGGATGCAGGAGGGCGACGAATGGGGATGAATCATAGTGGCGAAAAGGGTTCGACTGGTTTGCCCAGTCTAAGTCGCGAGGGCCGCGAGCGTAGTTGTTGAAGGAGTATTTGGTTTGGTTGTGGTATCTCTAACACTTGAGCAATTAATGTTTCTTTAGTTTCCAGCTGCTCGATTAGAGAAGGGGATTCTGAGGATGAAGATGACACATAGTGGATTGGGACTACTTTATTGGTGGCGGACGCAACGGCGGTGGGGAGCCGACTATGCCTGTGGTGTAGTGTGATTGGAAGTCTTCAAAAAATGAGATGCATTAACTTAGGTTGTTATTTATGTTTAGCTGCCAAACCAGTTAAGACTACAGTAGACCAGACTAGCAAATTTCAGTCTAAAAAATCATCCTAAATACGTTTTCGATTTAGTGAGCACAAACCCACTAGACCACTACTCCTTCCTTATAGTCAGCTGAAAGTGAACACTGTGGCCAAAGTTTACCAAACTCACACATCTATCTCCTTCATCATTATCTTTCTTGCAAGCAATCCTTTTCTTTTTAGCAATTCTCAGGATGAGTTTTTATATCATGAAAACTCTAAAAGAAGGAGATGGGAGGAAAAGGAAAAAGCAGGGCCAACTCCTAATCGCTTCTTCATTCTTCCGAGACAAAGTTAGCGGAAAAATTTCACCATCGCTAAGATAGTCCACGTCTCCGCCACCAATAGTTGGCCACTAGATTCGATAAGATCAATTTCCATGATCGACAACCCTTTGATCGCAGGTCCAGACCTTTCCTCCAAGGTCATTGGATGGGCATAAGTGCATTGTAGCATCAGCGGCAATCAAGAAAATATGGCGCTACTCGCCCCTGCGATGAATAGTCCGACGAAGATGAACAACCATGTGTGATAAGTTCCTTTTGTGTTTTCTTCTTCTTTTGGTTTTGTTTACCGGTTCATTAGGTTGTAAATAACCTCAGATCAATTTAGGCAACACCTCTATAAATTTGGGATTATTTTAGAAGATCGCTAATAGTAGGGATTATCAATGTGATTTTTTCAAGAAAATATAAAAAAAGTAGAATGAGGAACATATCTAAAAAGAGAATGATTAAAAGAAAAATACTTGTCAAGCGCCTTGTGGTTTGATGACAAAAATTTGAGATTTTGTTTTCAAAAAAAGCGCATTTTTTATAGTAAGTTATAATGAAAGAAAATGAAATGTAAAATGAGATTATTTTGAGAACATGGAAACTTGGAATTATTCTAGAAAGTAGAATTTTCCGTTTGGATTTTCGTCATCTGTTAACTATGGATCAGACCATATAATTGCAAATTATAATGTACACCCGGGTGTACCTATACACCCGGTATTTTTGCAATTCTCTTGAAATTTGAGTCTTCTTCTTCCATCCATATCTGTTACACGCTCAACCTTCACCATCGACATCGCCGCTCAACCTTCACCGGCCATATGCCATCGCTCCAATCTTCATCATCAGCACCAAACGACGAGCAAAGTTATTCCATTGATGTAATCTGACCAAGAGCAAATTCCATCTTGATGCAATCTGATTTGTTCTAGTCTCACCTGGGTCAATCGCCGACGCTCCGTTCACTCAGAATTCAGGCATCTCTGGTCCATCGCCATTGCTCCATCTTCGGTGCTGGAGAGATTTTAGATGATAACGTTAATGCTCTGTATAGACTAGATTCTGGTGATATTGACATGATAGAACAATCCAACCCTTGCGGTATCGCTCTCACATACCAAATGAGCATAACGCTTTAATGAAATAAGCATAGACAAATGAGGCTTTAAACGCATTAGCGATTTCAAATGGCGTTTATATTTTTTTGATACTCACTGTGTAGGTTATATATGCTCATTGGTATTATCATTATGTTCATTTTAATATGTCATATAAATTCGTATTTCAAAAGTATCACGTTGTTCAATATTAGACTCCTAATACTCAACGGAATGAATGTAATGCTCAGTAAAAGTTCATTATCGCTCATTTGACAGAAAACCACAATTTTCATCTCAATAGAAGATGTTAGATGCTCAATGAAGATGTCGTGACATTCAACTAACAAATCTTACGATTTTCATACCAATGCGCATTTTGTAAGTTACATATGCTCATTTGATACTGATGGTATGCTCATTTGATACTGATGGCATATTAATGCATATTTCAAAAGTATCATATCACATTAAATTCGCATATTAAAATTCATAGGTATTGTTTGTACATATAATTTAATAAGTTTTATAAAAGAAAACAAAGTTAAATAGAAGATATGAAGCACATATCGTAATACTCATTGTTAGCCTTTTAATATTCAATAAAATAGATCCGATGCTCACTAAAAGCAAATTATTGCTCATTTAGCGGAAACCGCAAATTTTCTTTTAAATTACAAAAATAACACCAAAACAAATACTCCGTATGGCCTATATTACTTATTGAGTTGTCTTCCTTACTGGGCCATGTGTACATACACCCGAATTCTTATTGGGCCATGTACATACACCCGTATGCAGGCCTGTTAATGGGTCGGGTCTAGACCCGGACCCGATCCGAATCCGACACTTTATTTGAGGGTATGGGTCCAAACTTAGAACCGTTTTTTGAATCCGGATCCGAACCCGTTACATGATAAAACAAATGGGTCGAATATGGATTTTTAAGTTCCGGCCCGTTTTGGACCCGACCCGTGATGATATAATTATATTTATATTTTTTTTACATATACACACACCCTATTCATAGAAATATTTAAACATAAAATAAGGAATATAATCAAATATAAAAAATATTTTAATATTTGTAGGCTTATTTAGTGATTGGTCCACTATAATGGGATTTTCGCTAATGAGTGAGTGATCTAGGTTCTCTATGAGTTCACTAATATACATATAACATACTCTGTATATATTGTATAGTTCATACAGAGTAATGGATAGAACGACATTTTGCTTATTTATATATGATCTCTTCTAGCATGAACATTTTTTGTTATATACAGAGTATTATATTTGTTTGCATATGTCATTTAGTTTTTTTTTGCGGGTATACCCGGCCCGGATCCGGAACCCGCCGGATCCAAATCTGGAACCTATATTTAGGACCCGAAGGGTAAATGAGTCCGGATCTGGACAAAAAAAAATTCAACGGATATGAATATGAAATTTATAGTTCCCGCACATATCGGACCCGTTGCGGGCCTACCCGTATGTATGATATACTGACTCCCATGTACTCCCTCCGTATCACATATATCTTCCCAATTCCAAAGTGGGTGAGATTAAGAATAGTGAAAGGGTATATAAATTATTGAGGGTATGATGGGAAGATAGTGAAATAATGTAATGGAATGAAATATAAATCCAAAAAAAGTAGGTGTAATAGTGTATTATTTTTTAAATTATTGAGGGTATGATGAGAAGATTTAGAAATGGAAAGATATAAGAAATAATTACATAAATATGACCAAAATAAAGATGGTTTACAAAAATATGATTCATTAATAGAGTAGTAATGAAATCATAGTAATTCATGTTCAAGTTTTGAACTTTAGTTACCACAGCACTACGTTGTAGTAATGAATAGTCATATTTATGTAAATAAGTTTTATTTTAGTAATATTCTCGTAAAAAACCCAAGATATAAATGTTACGTTTAAGAAAGGAAAGTGGAAAGACGTGAATGTTAAGTCCAAGAAGCAAAAAAGGAAGTCTTAGGGAGTGTTTGCAACTGCTTCTGCTTAAAAAAAAGCACTTTTGGAGATGTAATGAAAAAGTGATTAGTAGTAAAAGTTGATAGTGTTTGAGAAAAAAGTGATTTTGAAAAGTAAAAGTTGGTAGTGTTTGATAAAATAAGTGCTTTTTGTGTAATAGAAAAGGGAAAAACACTTTTCACACGCAAGCCGAGAAAAAGTAAAAATTGGAAGTGTTTGGTAAATAAGTGCTTTTTAAAGCCAAAAGCTGAGAAGTGCTTTTTCTTAAGCTATTGCAAACACTCCCTTAAGCAAGAAAAACTGCGATCTATATCTGCTGTACGTATCCCGGCCGCAACCGATGCCCTTGTAATGGCAGAATACTAAACAGAGAATAAGCAAAATGAGATTCACTTTTGACCTAGGAGAACCAGACTGCGACGCTGAAAATCGTCAATCTATAACTCCACCGTCAAACACCACTCCTAAAGAAGAATCACAGTGGATACCTTTGCAAAACCACCCTGTATTCACCACCGCAGATGTTGTTGCCGCCCAAACATTCAGGAGCTTCAAAATGCCAAAAAACCTTCTGGCATGGGACGGAGCATCTAGGCTCTACTATTGGGACCCTTCCAAACGCTGCCTGCACAGAATCTCCATTCGGTTGGGTGAACCCGACTCAAGTGTCATCCTTGCTTCTTCTCCATCTAAGGTCCTCCTTGCGCTGATGCAGTAATACGACACCTTGCTCTATCAGTCACAATACTTGTACTATCATCATATTTACAATTGTTGGTGCTGTTGTTTTAAATATTTGCTTGTAGGTGTTGCAAGCAGATGTGCAAATACATTTTGAGGTTGACAAGATTTCCATTAATAGAAATGGGTCAGCCATATTATTAGTCGGCATGGAGGGTTTGTGCATCATGTATCTTTATGGTCGGACTTCAACTACAAAAGAGCACACAATTACTTGCAGGTATATTTCTCATAGCGTGAACTTGTTTTGAACAAATTAGTTGGGATCAAGCTCATCATTATGAATCTATGATCAGTGGCGTAGCTAGAGGATGAATCTAGGGTGGATCGGATAAAAAATTCATCCATATAAATTTTCATACCGATTTTTTACAGTAAAGTTAAAGTTTTTTGCCAAAATTGGGGTGGGTTAGGGCACGGGTTGGCTTCTTGGCTCTGCCCATGCCTATGATGATGATATACCCAGTGGCGGAGCTAGCTCGGGGTTGTTGGAGGGCCACCCGGAAGCACCTCAAATGGAGGCGGCCGGAATGCAGTTCCGGTCAAGTAGGCCTGACAGGAACACTCACAGACATATATCCTTTTATCCTTTTTATCTTATACTTTTTATAATTTTATCTTTGTTGTTATGTCTTTCTTATGCTATTTATCCTTTTTATCTTATACTTTTTATACTTTTATCTTATCAAATTTATCTTTATCTTTTTTATATCTTATATTTATCTTTCTTTTATCTTTATCTTATATTTTGTCTTTTTTATCTTACCTTATTTTTTTTTATCTTTCTTATCTCTCTTATCTTGTTAGATCCGATTTCATGTGTCGGTTCATGTTAGTCAATCCCAAACTCATTTGGGACTAAGTCTTGACTCTTGGATGTTGTCGATGCTGTTGGTCCAGTGTTGTGAGGTATTGCTCAAGTAATAGATTTAGGCTCTATTTGATGGGCTCATTTGCCGAATAAGCATATTAAATACCTTGTTGCTTGCTTATTTCTCTGAAATGAATGTTACAAAACATTTATTCTTTTACAAAATTCTGTAGATTCAGTCTTTTCAGCAGAATAACTCTTGCAGAGTGTGTCCTTGTTGTAGATGTAATGCAAGTTAAGACATATGAAGGGAAGAGCTGATTTTTTTCATCACTGTGTGTATGACTGTATGCAAATCTTAACTTAAACATGTATATTGATGAACATGCTAAATAACTTCTATCCCAATTTACTTCTCGCAGGACTGTTTCAGCTGGCTCAGATATTTACTTCACCGGGAAAAAATCCATACACACATTACAAGTATCTTGGCACCCCTACAGTGACACCCATTTGGGAATCCTCTCTTCAGATTCAGTCTTCAGGCCTCTCTTTTTTTCTTTTACAAAGAATTACTATTATTTCCTCAATACAATTATTGCCAATGCTCCCTGTTTTCTATTCAATACTATATACTTTGGTACATGAGAAGTGTTGATAAAGTAAGAATGAAGTAAGAATGATTTAGAATCACACAAACATTACCAAATTTGGTATGAAACAATCTCAGTGGGACAGATTGAAAAGGAAATATGGGACAATCTTAGCGGGATAGAGGAAGTATTATATAGTATATATAACTATATATTAGGCTGATTAGAATTTAGAACATTATTTGTCATTTATGTCATGTTCCTTTTATCGAAATTTGATGGATCCTGCCTGCTTTCTTCAGAATTTTTGACTTATCCTCAGCACTTTCACAACCCGAACAAGAGTATTATCTGCAGCCAATAGAGCGTGGTACGTCTTGTGATGCCGCTGCTCTCTGTCCTGTAGATTTTTCTTTTGGAGGTGATCACCTGTGGGATAGATTTAGTGTAAGTTGATGAGGCACATGTGTCATTGTTTTCGTTATGAATAGTTTTTGTCATACTGCATTGCTACAATATTACTCCCAAGAAAATTAAGGGCTTTATCAAGTGGATCATGAGGTGTCAAATAGGCCTAAAATTATATTTTAGAATATGATGAATGTGTGAATATATTGGAATATCAAGAATTAAAAAGTGCTTAAGATTTTTATTCAATACAATATTGAAATATTCAAATATTTTAAAACTAAAAATATCAAATAACATTTTTAAATATAGAGAAACTGCTGACTAAATATTATTATTATTATTATTATTATTATTATTTATCATAGTGAAGAATATATATTTTAATTATTTTGAATATATTAATATATGTATATTACTATAAAATTATTTATAAAAGTTGACCGGGTTTTCCGGCGTTGACCGGGTTGACCCGTAACCCGATCATTCGTTCGGGTCGCTTCGCGGTCCGGTTTTTACAACATAGGTTTTCGTAAGAAGCTGATAAGTCGATTCATAACTTGTAGCTGATTTATGTACTGCTTGGTAACAGTTAGTGAATAAGATAGATTAGAAATATAAAACTGTCTAAAAGGATATGTTTATTTTTTCAAATGATGCTAAAAATGGTAATTTATACAAACAACTCATTAGGTTATTTGAAAAGCATCTCCTTGAACTTTATTAGATAAGCTCAAGCTTATTCAGTAAGTGGTCTCAGCAAAAAATAACCTAATTGAAAAGCTTTCTATAAAAATACTTTTTAAGCTAGCTTATACTCTTATAGCATGCAATCATGCCAAACAAAGCCCAAGTGGTAAAAATTATGGAACAAAAGACGATGATGTCGGATTTCACAGGTGATACATGAATACAACTGCATAAATGCATTCCTATCTATTGAAGGTTGAAACTTCTAACAGGTCTCATGCATCCCATACCATCCAAAAATCTTGCTTCCCAATCTTCTGTAATGAATGGACTTCATTCTTAATTTCCTATCCCCAAGTATGTTACATTACACAATTAGTGCTTATTGATGCAGTTCGAAAATGGTTTAGAATCTTATTTGTTTCTGCTGCCAAGTATGCTAATAGCATGTAGTTTGACCGATACATATATTTTTCTACAGGTTTTTGTGCTGTTTAGTGATGGCTCTGTTTATGTCCTGTGTCCTGTTGTTCCTTTTCGAAGGTAATTAAAATTTTTATATACCTAAACTCATGCATATAATTGCATAACATTTACGACTTTATGAATTATGGATATTGAATTGCTTCTTTCTTAGGAAAAAAAGAAAAAAATTAGAAAAAGAAAACAAAATTAGAAGTCGAGATACTCAGATACTCTGCATTATTTGAGAATGACTAGAAATAGTCTGGTGAATGGTGATTATTCGATTCTGCTCATATGCTTTCCATCTCTTATCTAATAGTGCCCTGTGTCTGAGTTTTTTTCTGCTTGCATCCCTTTTTAAATCTTGTTTGCTTGTGAGATTTCTATTTTTTTTTCCTTTTGAGTGACATGAACTGGTCTATTCTGCCATTACTTCTGTCTTTCAACCGAACACGTTTTTTTTTGTAACAGTGTGTACAAATGGGAATCCATATTGGAATTATACAACGATGTTCATGCATTTGGATTAAAGTCTACAACTTCAAGAGCAAATACAAATTCTAATTTTGCCATAACTTGGTTAGAAGCAACATTTACCGAATTAAGTCATGTAGATGTAAAAAGTGGAAATCTTATTGCACTTCAAGCTCAACCGTATGCTTTATTTGATGCCTCGGTTGCATTGCAGGTATTTTATTATGATTGATCTCTTGTTTGTGTTTCGGTCTAATTATTGTAATTAGTGCTTTGATTAGTTGCTTGGATATATGTCTTTTAGGATAATACGTGTTTATCAAGAATTTGGGCCAAATTACCAAATTGGTAAAAAAAAAAAGAGGACTGTTGGACAGATTGGTAAAAAAAAAACGATTTGTGACAAATTGGTAAAAAAAAGAAGCCCTAGTGACAAATTGGTCAATTTTTTCAGAGTGATAAACTTTTGATCCCCGACTTTAGAATTCCCGACATTTCATATTATAAGTATTGCGAAATTGACATTTGCAGTCCTTTTACTTTGATTTTGTCATCAAAAGTGGAGGTTTAAAAATGTCAACGATCGCGTTTGATAATAGCGGTTGTTTGCTAGCTCATAGCCGATTGTATCAGCAGATTGATATTAGCGGATTCCGTTAGTTTTTTTAACTAATCGCTTTCATTAGCGTTTTGAAATACAATGTAAGTAACATAAAAATTGCAATTAGCTTTTCAAACATAAAATGACCGTTAAAAAATGAATTTAAAAGTTTATATATTTAAATTAATTTTATTTCTTTTTATTTTTAATAAGTATTGGAAAAAGTTTTAAACATATGTTTACGTTTAGTTTAAATAATTAATAACACTGTTTTTTTAAGATATGTACATTGATGCGAGTACACACATATAAATTCATATATTTTTAGTATTAGTATTTTAAATATGACTATTTTTTAGTTTTTTTAAATCCACTCCATTTAAAAAATCTACTCCATATGACTATTTATTAGTTTTTTTAAAATCTACTTCATGGTTATTTAAAATAATGTAAATATAATTTTTAAAACCTTTTGAAAGACTTGATAAAAATAAAAGAAATAAAGTTAAGATAAATATATATACTTTTAAATTCATATTTTTCATGGTTATTTTATGTCTTAACATTTAATCGCAAATAGTTAAGTTACTAACATTTTATTTCAAACGCTAAAGCGGTTAGTTATAAAAGCTAATGGAATCCACTATTATCAATATGTTGATTCAACTGGCTATGAGCTAGCAGACAACCGCTATTATCGAACACGGTTGTTGACATTTTTAGACCTCCACTTTTGATGACAAAATCAAGGTAAAAGGACTGCAAATGTCAATTTCACAATACTTAAAATATGAAATGTTGGGAATTCTAAAGTTGGGGATCAAAAGTTTATCACTCTAAAAAATTGACCAATTTGTCACTAGAGCTTCTTTTTTTTACCAATTTGTCTCAAAATCGTTTTTTTTACCAATTTGTCCAACAACCCTCTTTTTTTTTACCAATTTGGTAATTTGGCCCAAGAATTTGAGATCATTTCCTTTCTTAGTTTTTGTGAGATAAATTTTGTGTTCTGCTTGGTCAAGGTACAACTTTTAAGTTACTTTCTTAAATCACAAGTCCTACTACCTCCGTCCTGTTTAAAGGTTCCCATTGCAAAATGGCACGGTTATTTAGACATTAATTAAATTGGTAATTTGAGTATATTTTGAGAAATAATTTTGATGGGTATATAATATAATGGAGTTATTGATGATAACTGTGATATTATAGATAATATTTTTTTTTAATATTTGATGATTAAATTGTCATTTAAGAAGGTTAATTGTTTCCCAAAATAGAAAATGAGAACCTTTAGATGGGACGTCCAAAAAAGGAAAGTGAGAACCTTTGAATGGGACGGAGGGAGTATTTCTTTTTAATTTTAACCTTTTGGTGTAACTAAATTCTTGATATGTAATTGTATGTGACTGGCTCCTTTGAAACTTTAAATGAAAAATTGGTTTCTTTTGAGAAAATGAGACTTTTTTGGGGACAAAGCAAAGTGTTTGGTGCATGACTCTTTTTTTGGTGACAGAGGGAGTATCTGCATAGAAAAATAAATGGACACAGTTCCTTTATTTATTTTATTATAAAATTGCATGATATGTACTGCTTCGTTTGCTTTTAATTGCATCCTTAAATTACAACAGTATTGAGGTATATAGTTATTCCACTGTTTGGACATTGACAGGGACCTCTGTGCAAATTTTCTAATAACACAGAAGATCCTCAAGTTCAATCAGCTATATGTGAAGGAAGAGCTGTCAGCTTTCTTTATAGTGCAGTCAGCAAAGATTCAATTCTTGTAACTGCCTGGAGTGGTGGGCAACTCCAAATAGATGCTTTAGCTGATGAAATCCAGCCTGTTTGGAAAGTGGGCAACCCAGCCCGTCTTTGCGTCGATTCCAATGATTGTATAGTGGGCCTTGCCATGATTTCCGAACTTGCACATGGTGATGATCACTCTTTTTTGAAGTCTGATTTACCACCACTTTTGAGGCTGGCTATAGTGGATCTATGTCTACCTAAAAAACCTGGTTATACGATATCGATGTGTGTTGACCCTCTGAGGTCAGAAAGAATATATTGTGCCCATGCTGGTGGGGTAGATTCGGTAGTGTTGCATTTCCTTCCCTTCACAAACCAGAATATTGACAAGGAAGGATTTATGAAAAGCCCGTCTGTTCATTCCGTTCTCATTACTTGCCAGGGAGAATCATCACTCCCTTCCCCATTATGCGCTTTCTTAGCTTTGTCAGACCCGTTTGGAGACTCTTGGATTGTGGGGATTACTTGTAATTTTCAGTGCATTGTATTGGAGGCGGAAACGTGGAATGCAATGCCTCATGTTGTTGATGAGGTGTGGGGACCCACTGGCCCAGGACTGTCGAAAGACACGAGCGGCCAAACTATTATAAGTAGAGAACTCTTTACTGGGCCTAAGCTTATTCTTTTGCCGCCTTCTTCAGAAGATCTACATTGTGTTACATCAGATTCAATTGAAGGCCGGGCTACACTGCATCAGTACTTCAAGCATTTCCATGAAAATTATGTGGAATATGCACACAAGGTAAAGATCTTTTACCCTTCACAACAGTTGTATATGTTCTTTTCTGTGAGAGAGACCCAAGGGTCTGTTGGGAACCCGTAGAAAATAGAGAGGGGGTTTGGAAGGAAAGAGAATTTGGGGCAAAATACAGATTAGGTTCTGACTTGATAAATCAATTTTGGAACTCATTTAATTTAGGGAAAACTGTCAAATAGGTCCTTGAACTTTCATAAAAAAGTCAATTAAGTCCTTCTATAGGAGACTCTGTCCGACCGTCGCGATTTGGGGTGGTTCCCTGTGGAATATTTTGATGAAATTTTTTGAGCATCTTATTCATCAAGTCTAGTTTACTCATACCAAATTTCAGCTAAAAATCCAATCGGGAACACATTCAAATTAATTCTTAAAGATAACTGCGCATTTTTGCGTTCTCGAATTGATTTGAATGTGTTCCCAATGAAATTTTTAGCTGAAAATTGGTATGAGTAAACTAGACTAGATGAATAAGATGCTCAAAAAATATCATCAAAAAATTCCACCGGGAACCGCCCCAAATCGCGACGGCCGAACAGAGTCTCCTATAGAAGGACTTAATCGACTTTTTTATGAAAGTTTGAGGACCTATTTGACAGTTTTCCCTTTAATTTATACTCCCTCCTACCCCACCGAAGGTGTGGGAGCCTTTGTGGCACTAGGGTAATGATTTAATTTATACTCCCTCTGCCTCAACTTAAGCTTCTTACTTGCCTTTTTTGGACGTCCCAATTAAAGCTTCTCATTTCTATTTTCGGAAATAATGAGGACTCTCAAATGACAAATTAACATCAAATATTAAAAATAATACTCCCTCCGTCCCACAATTAAAGTGAAACACATGAAATATTTTTTTGGGATAAAATATTGTTAATTTTGAGTAATTAGCCGTCAAAGTTTAACAAGTTTGAGTCAAAAGTCAAGCTATGACTTTAATTAACAGAAGAAGTTAGTACAACTTATAACATCACAATTATCATCAATGATCTCATTATGTAATATACCCATCAAAACTATATCTCAAAATATATTTGAATTCCTTATTTAATTAATGTCTATTTAACCGTGTCATTTTCAATGAGAAACTTAAGCCAGGAGCTCGGGACGGAGGTAGTATAATTTGGCTTATAAAAATTAAGAAATATAAATGCTTGTCAAAGCTTCTTTAAGAAAATCCTCAAATTAAAAAATAGTCATACTTTAAAAGAAGTTTAATGTGGACGTGCTTTTATTATTATTTTATTACTCCCTCCATCCCGAAATAATTGTCTTGTTTGCTTTAGCACAAGTTTTAAGAAAGTGGTTGAAAAGGTAAAAGTTATATAGTTGAGATTTGAGTAGAGAAAAGATGATTTGATATGAGCCACATATTATTGACAAAAAGGGAAAGAAGACAATTTATTTGGGACATCCCGAAAAGAAAACAAGATAATTAATTTAGGACGGAGGGAGTATTATGCTATTATTATGAAAAAATGACATGTATATTACTAACAAAGTTTCCCCGGATAAAAATATGACTAGTTATGTTTTTTGGACAAAAATATGACTAGTCACAGTGTATGAGTAATTGGACAAGAGTGATTAGTGTATTTCAGAGTGACAAGTCACTATTAGATGATGAATTGGAAGTAGTAACTGAATATGTTACTTTTTTGCAAAATCTTAAAATAAGTCATATTTTTGTCTTTTGAATTAAATTTAGTAATACTCATGGAAAAAGGCCTATTATTATTGTTGTTTCTGTAGCATTTCTTTCTGTTGTTGGCAGTAGTTTACTAGCATTCCTACAATCCTACTAGCATAATTGTACTAGATTTTGAGTTGCTATATTATCGTTCCACCAAGACTTGAAAGTAGTATGAATAGAGGTGCTCTATTCACTAATGTTATGATCAATAATTTTGAAGTTATTATTTGTTGTCTAGACAAGGTTCTGCCACCTTCTCTTACCTAAGACGGAGAAGTGTTTTTTAACATTCTTCTTTTCAACTTTCAACCACTCCGGTAACAATTTGGTATGAGAGCCATCATTATCCTACCCTGTTCATCTTCTTCCTACATCCTGCTGTTTTTTCCTCACATTGACAATCCCAACAGAACGAATAACAAGGAAAAAGAAAATTGTGGCTTCAGACTAACAGCTAGAGAAACCTGTGCAATATAGAAGTCACACTCCTTTGCTACTAGACGTGCTTTAAGGCGATCAAATTCTCCATCAGGTCCAACTTTATAGTATCAATCCATCTACAACCGACCACCGATTTTCCAGGAGCAACGCCACTCTCGATGTGACAGTGCCTAACGGGTGGTTTTAGGAATATAGACATCGGAGTGGTTTGAAATAAATGCATAGTAAGGGTTGGAGATACGATGACAGCTGAGGTAATTATATATGGGATTAGGATTCAAAGTAGAATATATACCTTTTCGAAAGGCAATGGGCTTATCATTAGGAGTGACATGTTTCTGGGGTAGCTGGGTGCGTGGAAGTGAGACTCGTGGCTGGGGAATCAACAGGCCTAACCTCATCGATAGTGGTAGTATGAGTAGTTTTGGAGACTCGATAAAGGTGACATCAGTTGAAATAAAATGTTTCTTTAGTGTTGGAGAATAATAAAGATACCCTTTTGAAGTCATGAATACCCAAGGAAAATGCATTTGATTGACTGAGAAAACATTTTTGGTCGTCCATGTGTTATATCATGAACAAAACAAACACATCCAAAAACACGAGGGGACAAAGGAAATAATTCATGTGCAAGGAACATGACAGAGTAAGAAACATCGTTGTTAATTATTGACGAAGGCATTCTGTTAGTTATGTGACACACTGTGAGAATAACATCGCCCCAATACTGAGATGGTGTTTGAGAATGTAATAATAGAGTGCGAGCAATATCAACCAAATGATGATTCTTACATTCATGATTCAACAACACCGTTTTGTTGTGGTGTGTGAACGTAAGAAGATTGGTAGAACATCCCTTGAGAAACCATGAATTGATTATAAGGTGTGGAAAAGAATTCTTGGGCATTATCACTGCGTAAAGCTTGATAGAGTGACCAAACTGTGTTTGAGTTTTAGCACAAAGATTTTGAAATATTTGGAGAAATTCAAAATGTTCTTTCACTGAAAATAACCATGTGTAACGAGAATAATTATATATGATTATAACAAAGTAACGAAAACCTAGGGTAGATTTGACTCGATATGGACTCAAACATCGGTATGAACTAAATCAAATGGGGATGTGGCTCTATTATTGACTCTTCATGGGTAAGATTGACGGGGTGTTTGCCGAGATGACACGACTCACAATTTAAGGAGGGAAGACGAGATAATCCCTAAATCATTTTTGGAGTTTTGAGAGGCTTGGATGACCTAAGCGATTATGTAAGGTAATCGCTGACTTAGCCGACACATAAGCAATAGAATCAGGAGGATGAATATAATACAACCATGAGATTCATGTCCTATTCATGGGTAAGATTGACGGGGTGTTTTATTAAAAATTAAGCGGAGGGTAAAAAATTTTATTTACTAAAAATAAGCGGAGTGTGAACAGGGATTGAGAGTCAATAATAGAGCCACATCCCCATTCATAAGGTAATCACTTTCCCATTATCATGGTACTGTACAACCACATAATTACATGAAAAAGTTATAGAACAATAGAGAAGCGAGTAATCTTGCTAATGGATACAAGATTAAAAGGACTATTTGGAACATACTCCCTCCGTCCCGTTGGAATGTTCCCGTTCACTATTCATTGGTCAACTTAGGTCACTCCTAATCTTTTACTTTATATATCAAAATTTTATCAAATTGAACTTTTCTTGATCAGGCTTTGTAGCGGTTTTAATGTAGTTTCTGAATATGTAAATTTTATTTACTAAAAATAAGCGGAGTGTGAACAGGGATCGAGTTGCTTTATCGTCAGTCAAGCATCGTAAACCGAACGGGAACATTCCAACGGGACGGAGGTAGTATAAGACATTTCCTAAAGGTAAGGATGATTCTGGAAGAGACTCACCTATTCCCATAGTGGGAGTTTGATGTCCAATAGCGAAGGTGATATGCGATAAATGTGAAGGTTTACATAAAAGATAGGAATTCCAGAAACATGATCGGAAGCACCTGGATCAAGGATTCAAAGATTAGAGCGTTTTGAAACACAAGCTCTAGATACACTTTGAAAAATATTTAGGGCCTATTTGGAGATATTTTCCAGTTTTCTATTTCAGTTTTCCGTTATCCAATTTTTTGTTTTCATTTCCAGTTTTTCTATCGCCAACTTTTTGTTTTCATTTTTTAGTTTTACATTTTCAAATGTGAAAACATGTTCATCAAATTTTTCCACTCGGTTCTGCGATCAACCAGAAGATAGAAAGTACGATCCTAGTCCAGAACCGATCGTAATACAACCCAAGTAGGGTACCAGGTCCCACAGTTAGTTTGATGAACTCTTTTCCCATTTCATTATTGGTTGACAACTCAACTGATCTTTTAGAACTCTTCACTTTAAAAAATGATTTGAAAAAACCAAGACTGAAATGTCAGGTCATAGATTAGCCTGGACAAAGATCGCCGGGTTGTTAACAGGACTGGTTCGGGACCGCCCGGTTGTCGATCGGACCAAACACAGGCCGTCAGGTCATTGGCCGGACAGGATGAGTATCGTCGAGTCGTTGATCGAACAGGATGCGGACTGCCAGTTTGTTGACCAGACAGAACGGGGACCGCAAGTCGTTGATTGAACCGAACAGGACCGCCGAGTTGTTGAGCAGACCGGATCAAACCGGTACTGAATTTGTACAACCTTGTCGTGGATCGGACCAGACAAGGATAGTCGGGTCATCGACTGGACCGAACTGGACAGAGACTGCCGGGTCATGGACTAGACCGAAAAGGGGCCGCCGGGTCGTGGACCGGTCATGGATCGGATCGGACCGGACAGGGATCGTCGGGTCGACCGGACTGGACCAAGATTGCTCCGCCGTCGATTGAACCGGACAGGGACCGCCGGGTTGATGATCAGACTGGACCCCTAGGTCGTAGACCGGCCTAGATAGGGACTGTCGAATCGTTGGCCGAACCGGACTAGAATTAACACCGGAGCATGACAGGATCCACCACTAGATGTAAGTATGCAAATTCATTGCAGCGGCACTGCAATGAATTTTTGAAAACTAAAAGTCACTTCTTCAATTCATTAAGGAAAACACAAACATCTCGTTTTTTTTTTTGTTTTGGAAAACGATTTGGCAAACTCATTTTTTTGTTTTCATTTTTCCAGTTTTCCAGCAATTTTTTTTTGTAAATAGGCCCTTAGTTTCTTGAATTTTTGGTAATCCTCAAATTCATCGAGCGGAAGCACAACTGAAGATCGCTCAATTTAGGCTGGTTTAGTAATGAAATGGACATGCAGTCACGGACAATATCAAGGTTGGAATTCTTGGCAGTCCGGTCCGGCGGCAGCGCGTGGTGGCACATGGGTTATTCGGTGTGGGAACAACTCCAAATTTTTGGGGAGGGTCGCCGGAGGATGGTCATTCTTCTGATACAAGCCGTGACGAAAACAGAGTTGTCTGGCGGCGCGTCGGAGTTTCTTTGGCGACAAGATTCTTGCTTGTGGGTCGCGAAGATGTTCCGAGGTGGGCGGTAGGACTGGTTTTGAATACAAACTATCTGATAAGTATGAGAAGGAACAGTCGCCGGAAAATGTCACCCACCAGGAAATTTCACCGGAAAACATTACGCCGGAAATTTAAAGAAAAAAACTGAAAAGTATGTCATATGTGACTCTGATACCATATGAAATATATGACTCACATTCTTTCACGTTCTGAAATATTACAACTGATATACCCTATATCTATAACTAGGGTACAATTAGGGCTAACTACATAAAGTGGATTGAGCCCAATAAGCTCGGGTTTAAGGTTTAGGGTTTCATTAGTTTTGAATGGTTGTGTATTTTATTGCGAGCAGTAAAAATAACAGCAAAAAAGGGTTAGTGCTGGACCAACATATCAGTACTCCTACATAGTTCAACGATTAGAATAAATAAAATAAAAGATCGATTACGTGATTTGATTTTTTTTAGAATTAATTAGTGCGGGTAAGCTATTTTAAGGAGTATTTCTAATTAATGGCATAAGAGAAACATGGTTCGATTATGGGGGCAACCGGATTTTGAGGCTTATCAGGCTTAATCACATGAAATTTATTTAATTGACAACGCAGGTCAATACTAAATTCTTACCGCTCTCGCGACGTAGAGTACAATAATTCAGAGAACCAAGTTGATCTATCATGCGACAAATTTCTAAATTATAGCTAAAACGATCGAGCGTACGCCTTCCTAATCGCTACTAATATCTTAATGAACGATTAGATGTGTGTGAAAGTGTTCTGGAATAATTTAAATCTCTCTGAAATCATTCTATGTGCAATTATAATCATAGCAGTCATTCCAAGTTATAAAAGATAAGAATTTTCTATTGCTTTTCAGCCTTGAATTATCAAGATTCTGGGATAATTTCCCTAAAAAAAGATTCTGGGAGAGTTTGTAAGTTCTTTCTTTTTTATTAAATCAATTAATTTTTTCCATTATGAATTGTGAGTAGTTTTAATTAGGTATTTGAGACTGATGAGGGCGTATTAATCATGATCTAGGGTTCCATTCTTGAGGGTTGAATTGCATGAATTTTATTTAATTGGGTTCACAAGCTGTTTAAATAGAAAGTAGTGAAAAGGGTTAAATTTGGACTTTTTTGGGCTTTTGGGTCGCACACGGTCGCACGCACCGCTGTGCGCGTGGCAAAGATTTTTTCCGTAAAAACACCCGTGCACGGCATGTGTGTTCGAGAGAGTTCGAAGCATACCCACATGCATGCGCACCTCCCGTCCGAATTTGGCTATGCTTTTTTCAACAAACTTGTAGCTAAGAAGTCCTCTATCCACCACAATTTGAAAAATTGGAAATGGATCATCCAATCAAAAGATATGGATGAAGTGGTGGACGTCGCATCCTGAAATCTCAACGGTGATGATCTGACTTCCTCGTATGTTTTTACCTTATCCTCTCACATTCTCTTCATAGTGTCTTCATATGATTATAGCCTATTGAATTTTCCTACGAAGAGATATGCTCAAACGCCCACGTTGGTTCCCGTACGAAAAGTTTATCCTCTCACAAATAGCTGTTTTCATGCTCCTTGAGTCCACGTTGGTTACCATACTTCATCATTGAGCTCAGTTGACTTCAAAATCACTCCTTTAATGCCTCCTAAACCTTCAATGCTTCTCAACAACTCTCCAATGTGTCTGAAATCATTCCGAATAATTCTCCAATGCTGTGTCGGGCTAAATTTCTTGTTTTTTTACTCTAAAAACACCAATTGCAAACCAAAACTCATAAACTTTTAGTTGAGTTAATTAGATGCTTTGTGACACATTTAAGCTAGAAAAATTGGTTAAAACCTATCTCAATTCGCATAAAATGTGTGTTGAAATATGAACTTATAATCTACCAAGTACCAACTAAAGCATTGTTTGTAACTGCTTTTCAATAGCACTTTTGTGCTTTTTTATCAACAAAAGTCAAAATTGGTGTTTGGAAAACACCACTTCCCCTTTTGTTTAACGGAAAAGCTGGATGCACCTTTTTTTAATACTTGGTAATTTGGTAATTATTGGTATCTATGGGGGCAATTATATTTATGATATTTGTTGTTGTATCCTATAATGCCCTTCTTTCTTTTCTTGATACATCACTCCAATCATAAAGGTTTAATGAATGAGGGGCATTTTTGTACATTAATAAAAAAAACCACATCAATAATCACTTTTTTACCAAACACTCCAATTTTTCCAAACACTATTAGCTTTTACAATTAATCACTTTTTCAAATTTCATTAAAAAGCACCTTTTTAAGTAGAAGCAGTTGCAAACACTCCCTAAAGCATTTAGAAGAGCTTTTGCTTCCATATGATGATTTTGGGGACAAGGTCCTCCAAATGTAAATTCCTGATCATCATGTCAAAACACGCACACAAATTTTGTATATCTATTATCTATATTTACTTGTGTTCTTAAAAGAAATTTAATCAAGTAATATAACCTTTGCATGGGTGAACATGAAATACGATTTTTATATTTTATAAATAACCCAAACTTTGGATTACTCATAATACTATCCCTTGTTGTAGGTGCACTTTGAACTTAAGCATCATGCACCTCACTTGAAGAAGATAATTGATGAGCAGCATTCTCGATTTCAAAAATCACAACAGAAGCTTGTGAAAGTTGAAAAGAATCAGGAAATATTAGACAACCGTTTTGAGCACGCAGTTCAGCGTCATGCTGCCATAGTAGAAAAATTGCAAAGGCTGAGATCTTTGCCAGTAGCTCACAATCGATCACTATCAAGAGCTGAGCAAGTTTTCAAGTCAGAAATTGGTAACTAAATATGATAATTGCCGATCATCTTTGCCATGGTTTCTTGATTATTATTACTCCATGTGCCCCAAAACAAGTTTATTTTTAATAAAAAAAAAAAGATTTTAAGTAAAAGTAACTTTTAATACATAAAAAATTACTCCCTCGGTCCCGCTAGAAGGTTCTCGTTACGGTTTACAAAGCTTGACTGACGATAAAGTAACTTAATCCCTGTTTACACTCTGATTATTTTTAGTAAATAAAATTTACATATACAGAAACTACATTAAAACCGCTACAAAGCTTGATAAAAAATGTAAATTTGATAAAAATTCAATATATAAAGCAAAAGATTAAAAATGATTTAAGTTGATCATATGAATAGTGGAATGGAAGCTTCTAATGGGACGGAGGGAGTATGTGTTTAATGTATTTGGACATGAAAAAAAATCACTTTTTGTTAGACCAACAAATAAATTTTAATAATACAAGTCAATTTGATTCATGAATTTAGTTAATTTACTTATTTACATTAGAAAAGAAAAATGGAAAATAATTTTTATTTGAAAAACATATAATCTAATGCAGGAAGAGCAACAAGCAAGTCAAAGTTTTGATAAATTTAGCTAAAACTAGCAAATACAGCTTATAAAAGTTGTACCATATCATCATCATCATTACCCCAGTGCCGCAAAGGCCCCACCTATGGTGGGGTAAGGGGGTCGGATATACAAAGTCTTACCCCTGTACTAAAGCACAGAGAGAGTGTTTCCGAATGACGCATAGGAAGTAAAAGTTGTACCATATCAGATTTAAAAAGTTTCACCTTGGTCAAACACAGCTTTAGGTCAGAGGAAGTAACATTTACTTTGCTTCCTTCTCTGAGTTCTACTCACTATAGCTGCAATTCAGTAAGGATATGGTATACTCAACTTTTTAAATAAAATGTCAATACAGAGAAAATGCAGGGCATTGAGTTGGATGTGCTGCGCTCATCCATTGAAGCACTGAATGCGAGGTTGATGCGGTACAAGCATTCAATTGAGCAAAACCAAGTCAACGAGAAGAGAGAAACTTCAAGCTGGATGAAAAGTCGTCACGTCTTAGATAATCAAATGTCACAGCTGAAAGCCTCACTTGAAAAGCTCTCCCTCACCAACAGTGAAAACACCAAAAAAGTTAAACTCGTTGAGTCGGCACTAAGAACACTAAAAGTATGAGTGCGTGAAATTATTAGAACCCCATAGTTCAACGTCAACGCTGTATTAGCACATGTGAATTGCCATTTGTGTAGGGATTTTTTCAGTCTCTTATTGCTTGGCTTCGTGATTTTTAATGTAGGGTTGGCCAGATGTGCACTTTGAGGTGCTTTAAATTTGCTTCTTTTGTGTGTTCCACTAGAATGCATTAATTAGATTGAGGCCTATCGCCCAAATGGTGGGCTGTAGTGTGGGCATATTCATTCTTCAACAATCAGCCTTTAGCTACAACCCATCGTTGGTCCAATATGTTTTTTTCCGTTCCACCCAGTCCATACTATTTGCCATTCATTCCTTCAATTTGGTTGAAGGAATGAATATTTACCGCTGTCTTATCCATATTGCCCACCAAGATTAAATACCATGGAAAATTTTCAATTTATTTAAAGGTGAAAGGCATATCTCTGAAAAGTAGAATAAGTGTGTTGACATCATCAAAAGAGGGGAATTGTTAGGAATAAATTGTTACTCTCTCAGTCCTATTTTATAAGATACATTTCTTATTCACTTGGTCAACATAAATCATTCTTAAACTCTTACTTTAATGTAGTCATGGACCCGGGCCGGTTCCGGGCCGGGCTTGGCCGGGCTTTTTTTTTTGGGAAGGAAGGCCCGGGACCGGCCCGGGTAGCCACCGGGTCCGGTCCGGGCCGGGCCGGGCCTCTGGTTTGGTAAATTTTTTTTTTTGCTTTCCTAACCCCCCCCCCCCCCCCCTCACCCCCCCACCCCCCAAACCCCTCCTAACCATCAAGCCCAACCAGGGTAACCCCAAAAATGAAAAAAAAAAAAATAAAAAAAAATTAATTCGGCCCAGACCCGGGCCCGACCCGGCCGGGCCGGTTCGCCAAATACAAGGCCCGAGTCCGGACCCCCCCACCGGGCCTAGTCCCGACCCGGACCCGAGAACTGGGCCGGTTCTGGGCCCGCACAGTAGCGGGCCGGACCGGTCCTGAGCCGGGCGGCCCGAATCGGGTCCATGACTACTTTAATGTAGTTTCTAAATATTTAAATTTTATTTTCTAAATCTAAATTGAGTATTGACAGGGATCAATTTGTTTTATCGTTGGTCAAACATCGTAAACCGTAAAATGTCTTATAATTTGGGACGGAGGGAGTATTAGATTTTGATGATGTTGCAAAACTTGGGAATTTGGAGTACCCCTGTAGACTAATTGTTGTAGAAATTTTGTTGTAGATATTAGAATGATCAACTGCCAGAACTGAGGTGTTTTGCCTCCCATAGGGCAGAATTGACCTTGACATAGGCATAGACTCGCTTCGGGCCGACCGGCTCAAAAACCGGCCCAGCCCGGAAAACCGGTTCCGGTACCGGGCTTAGGCCCGGTCCGAGGGGGTAACCAGGTGCGATTCGGGGTCATAAAAAAGGTGAATCGGCTAGGCCGGGCCCGGTTCGGACCGTTTTTTTGTTTTGGGTTTGGGCTGGGTTTAGGTGGGGAAGGGGGTTGAAATACATAAGAAAACAAAAAAAATTCGGAACCGGCTCGAAACCGGTAGACTCCTGGGTTGGTCCTGGGCCTTATCCAAAACCATTCAAGCCCGACAGGGCCTAGGCCCGAACCGGACCCGGTCCACCCCTATCTTGACTTGGTGTTAGGAACACTCAAGTCTGGACAGAACTACTCCATGACAGAATAGCTAGTCGAGCTACTATAACGGAAGCGCACCAGAAGTGCTCCCTTCAACTGACTTGATCGGAAATCCTTTGAGATATCCGTTACACTAACGGATAGAAGCCTTTCAACGGAAGAAGTACTGTGCAATGCATTAAATGCTCATTTAATGCAACCCACCCGTTGAGATATTTAAGGCGCATGATTGACCGGAGAATCCAGGAGAATAATGTTTAATACCTCCCAAAATAGTAAGTTGGCAATAATATGGGAACTGATCGGTCAATTCTACAGTATACGCATTTAATGAAGATTACTTCTACACTCTAGCAGGAAGACCTCTACCATTATATAAGATACACTTCGAAGATCATGACAACAAAGAATTTTGAAATCAACCAAACAAACTCTTTAGAGCAAATACTTCACTTGTTCAAACGAGAGATAGGAAGTTTGAGCCTAAGAGACAAGACAAGAAGGCGAGAAGAAGTTTGAGCCAAGTTTGAAAGCACGTGTAGTCCTGATGGGTTGGATGTTCGCATTGTTGACAAGGCAACCTGGGTTCAAAGCCTCCTTGGAGTTAAGTTTTACTGAATAAATTCACGGGCCAGGAAGGATCTGGTCACATAACAACCGAGGAAGGACCCACTATCAGAAACAAAATCAAGCTCATATTCAAAATATGATGAAGCTTTCTGCTGCCTACTAGCAGATTCAATTGACTTCTGCCCGCTCGTACCCTATAATACTGGCGTATCCTCTTATTGCGGAACTAATTTTTCCTTAGTAAGCACAATCTTCACTGCAGAATCAATTTCTGAAGTGTTGGAAGAGTTTAGAATTATCCAATCCACTTATTATATACTTAAAGGAGAAAATAATAGCCTAAAGGTTGAATTCTCTTATTTGAAGAGGGTTAGTGATACTCAAGCTAGAGGTCTCACATGGCAGTTGAAAGCTGAAAATATTTTTTAATTTAGTCAGGGAACATTTTCCATATTTTATTAAGATAAAAAAAAGTTGTTTAAAAGAAGAGGGGACTAGACCAAAGCTTCTTCACAAAGGGCATAACCTTTTGAAATACATGTAAGAAAAAAAATAAAAGATAAAAAATAATAAAGAAATTGGGAGGACCAAACCTTACCCAATTTAAATAGTTCTGAAATAGAGATAACCTAAAGCATCAGAGATAATAAATTTCTTAACCTTTATAATGAATTTAAATAACATCTCACCTGCGTCCAATTCCATATGGGCTAAGAAGTGAGCGGGCTGAAAATGTTTATCTCCTAAACAGAATAAGAGAGATTGAGAATCTTGAGTTGAACTATCAGACTTTCCAGAAGACGCAAGCCTCTGTGGAGAAGATGGTGTCCACTCAAATTAATTCTTTGGGCACTGGTCGTGGTTTTGATTCAACAGAAACTGGCGAGCCTTCTCTGAAATTTAGCACCAAAGTTGCAAGTTCTAACAGAGTCAAGGACGACTCGCAGATTTCTAACCCCAATTTTCACACCGGTATAACTGCTACCAAGGCTGATTACGGAAATGTTAATCCATAAGAGGGAAAGATAAAAGTCCAACTAAAACATATTTTGCAAAATAATGAAACTGAAAGATATAGGACTTAATCTTGTTGGGCTTCTAAGATCAGAAACACTTTTCCTAACAATAAAAATTAAAGTCTTAAGAAAGATAACAAACAATTATATGATCACCATGCCAAACACGACTACCTGACATACAAGCTATAGGATAAGGTTTGTCATAGGTCGGGGGAGAGAGTAACCATCATTCCTCTCCTGCTATTATTTTGGATTTCTTCCCAATCAAGAAGACTATGCAGAAGTACGTAAACATAAAACATGATCCTCATAAGCATTTGACTAAAGTTAATCACACTTCGATTTACTATGTACCAGGTGGATAATTGGTACCAGCCTCCAAGGGCGAAACTAGCAATGGGCTCGGAGGGCTTCAGCCCCTGCAATTGTTTTTATTTTTATTATATATATATATATATATATATATATATATATATATATATATATCAAATATAAAATTGTAAATTGTAAATATTCAAAAAATATGTGTCTTATACATTAATAATCACTATGTTCACAAAAAGACACTGCAGCGGAGTGGAGGAGGCATTGCAGTTGTGGTCTGGGATATGAGAGATGTAGGGATCGAATGATAGCTTAATTTTTTTATATTTTGCTTTACTAGTGTCTTTGTTAAGCTCTAAATTAATTTAAAATGGCTTTAAATAGCTGTATTCAAATTTGGGTGATGTACCATTAAGCTCTCTAGTGCATGGGTAGGAATCACAATTTTGCTATGGTAGCTTTTTCATCAAATCGACTCATCATATTTAATTTCTTGCTTTTTGGTTTAATAGAAAATCTCATTTCATCTTGTACTACGTATGTAATTAAAATTGTGATTTCTCAATTTACTTTTCAAGATATTATATTCTAGAATAAAATATATATGTAGTATATTCTAGATGGTGGATGCAACATCTTTCGGAGACCTTCGCTTTCCCATTAAGTGACCCTCCAGGGTCCCCGAGCTGGTTCCGCCATTGCCAGCCACCAAGGACTCATCTTATGAGACCAAAATGGTATCGACTCCTCAGGCTGCATAAGCATAACCACCAAGGACTCATCTTATGAGACCAAAATGGTATCGACTCCTCAGGCTGCATAAGCATAACCACCTCGGATCCAACATGGGTTGAGTACCTATACACACAGTCCTCTCTTTTTATCTTAGAGGACTGTGTGTTGGAGTTATATCTTATCAAGAATGGTTTATATATAGTGGATGCTCCGGGCACATGACATGTGGCAAGTGTTCCCTAACAGAGTTCCAGAAATTCAATGGACCCAAATTTATCTTTGTTGGACAAGATAGTTAGAGATGGAATAATCATTGAAAGTTTCTTATGTTGGGGATATATCTTCATCTGGTTCACTTCCTTATGAACTATGGACCCTAAATAATAGAACATATCACTGATTTGTATCTCCTTACCACTTAGGATAATAATTACACTATTACTACTAGGGGTGGAAACAGGCCAGACCAGGTTTTTGCCTAAACAGGTCGGGCATATTTAAGTATTAATAGGCCTAAGTCTAGGCTGTTACATGTTAAAGGTCTGTTTTTCGGCCTGAGCCTGGCTGCTTAAAAGTCTGGCCTAACTTGAAGCCTGTTTAGTGGGCCTGTTACAAAAAAATATTAAAAGTTCATAAAAATTAAAAATAAAAGGAAAATAAGAAGAATCCTTTTAACCCAATATAAATTTTGTCCCCCAAATATATTCACTAAAAACTCTAATTATACGATAGTTTTGCTTTGAATGTTTAATAACACTTCATTTTTTTATACGTCAATTATGTAGCTTATGAATTTGTATATACTTCAAATCTTGAAAAACTTTGAATTTCAATTACCCTAATAACCTATTAACACACTATATATTTGAAATAGCTAGTATTCTAATTTATAATACATACTCCATAAAATACTAATATGCCTAATTTACTATAGTTAAGTA